ATTTAAATAGATTCTACATGCTAATGTAGAAATGCAAAGTTGCTGTCATTACCATCAAGGATATTGTGAATTGAGGCAAACAGCAAAATAGCTGACTGATTAATTCAAGGTCAAAACTCATAGGAATTCCCCTCAATGTTGTTGGAGTCACTGTGAATCACATTGCAAGACATTTAACTTCCCTTGAACACTCAGTGTCAGTTCTCCTCTGCTGGTCACATGACAGACAATCCTCAGAGGACCAACCCTTCCTGACCTCTTGTCCACTAAAGCCACATCCTAAGTTTAAACTATCAACCAAAATATTTAGAACAGAGTCGGGTCAAAGCTGCACACATTGTCGATTTCAGTCCAACTAGAATGTGATCGAATGTTTCTTACACGTATTTTGCCTCATGGAGTCCACACCCACCTATCACTGATTGTGAATGACTGAGGTTGATTATCAGGTTTGTGGTTGGCAGGAAATTATCATGAGGTCATGTCTGATGAGTGCTGACGATGACTGGGGCAAACTGAAGGCTTCATTCATGTTTAAATCTGCCTTCATATGTTTATCACCGTGGTTACGTCAGAGCAGCGTAGAATTACGGTAACACTGAATATGTATGTTCAAGTTTATTTGTCAGTACACGTTTAAAGAAATGTGAAATGTCAGCATGTCAGCGTCATCATGCACATTTACCATCATGCTCAACATCGTATTACTTGTTAGAACCAAACGCAAAGGATGCTAAAACAGATCTAAGTGATGGGGAATATTTGCCAAATTGTCATCTAGAGCAACACTGCAAGTGTGGCAACAACAACAAAAACAGTGTTATATATCATATATGCAAACAAGCAACATGGAGTTGACTGCACTGGTATTGTACGTGTCTAGTCGTATTTTGAGTGCTTGGTGGCTATAAGTCATTCAGCAGTCTGTCAACCCCAGAGAGGAAACATTTGGCTTTTGTAGTGGCATTGGTTCTTGTATCATCTACCACAGAGCAGGATGTATAGGAAGTCCAAAAGTTAGTCAGTGTCAGTGATTAATGCTTTCAAGTGCAGTGGCAACAGAAAACAGACGGCAAACAGCATAGCAACAAGTACACAACTAAAAGAAAATATATTGGTTAATTGAAGGTAGGGTATTAACATAAAAGCCCTGTTGCAATACCTTATACTTTATGTTCAGTTTGATATGTTTGAACAGAAATAGATAATTTGTAACTATGAAAGTGAAAAATGACTAAATCCCATTCTGCTTTCCTCACTCCAGGGTTCATCTGTTGTACGTGCTCACCCGGCATACCAGTCGGAACTTGTGCTTTTTCGGCTATCACGTCATAATGCGTCTACTGTTGGAAAAAAAACCTGTGGGTAATAAGGCAACCTTAGCAGGAACTGAGCCATCATTTAATTTGAAAAGATGACTCACAAGAATTGTTGCTCGAGCCATACATCGATTTTTGTCATGATTATTTGCATTTTGGAAAATGCAGACCATTTGCCCGTCTTTTTGTTGGTTCTGCTGGCTTGACACCAGTGTGATAAATGACACGGACAACATTTGCGGCTTCTGCAAAGCGGTGGGCGTGAGAGGAAACATAAAGGTGACTCGGGTTCACCGAGTATCTGAGTATAACAGATGGGCCTGGGTCCTGGCTCTCACACTGTACGTGGGAAACCAAACAGCCAGCAGCAGGCCAAATGAAACTTCCTGACTCTGGGAGACACAATAAAATTAGGGGGAAAAGCACCCCTTTATTATATAAACTGAAAAACACCGTCAAGGAATGAGATACTGTGATTCATTGTATGTAGAAATATCTGGTGCTGGTACGAGCATTGATTTTTCTCTGTACTGCTGGTTGTTGTCAAAGTGCTAAGAAGAGTCATAGAGAAAATCTTTGGAATGTGCTCTATTGACACTTCATTGTTAAATAATAACCCAAGTTCTCCAGACATTGTTACACAAGGATATAAAAGGTCCAAACTGGACAACAGCTTTTGAGTTTTTATGACAACTGAAGCTTCCACAGTTTCTTTTTCAGGGGTGTTCAGCTGCAACATGCAACTTCAACACTATATCACAAAATTCTGCACACTGTACCTTTAAAGCAAGGCTAAGCAGTTAGCTTGGCACTCTTGAAAGGTTAAAACAAATTATGAAGGAAGAATAAAAGGTTGTATTTAGTTTTTTTAATCAATAACACTCCAGCAGAAAGTTCGATTCGATGATCGAAAATTACAGACATTTGTCAAAATGGAAAACTAGATCTCTCTTTGAATAAAGAATNTATAGATTAGCATATTCAGATTGGGTAGTTGTTTTCAGTCCATCTGTTTCAGTCTTTAAGTAAAGTTAGGCATCTGTATTGGAGAGACAGGAATGGAGTGATATCAATATTTACATGAATCTCTGTACCTTTTTATATCTAACTTTTTAACAAACCTTACCTGAACATCAGCTATTCTGTTGCCCCCGGGTTCACAGTCTGTCATTTGAATATTGTATTTGAGTGTTTGTTATAAAGGTCAATGATTGAGATATCAGAGGTCAAAGTATTTTGCAATAGCCCATTGTTTTCATGCCTTTATGAGGAATGGAACCTCTAACCCTATTTCACACAAACATCTTGAGAGGCAACCAGAGACCGTTACAAAAAATGTTCTTGTGTAATCAGAAATAATTTCAAACCTGCTAATTTCCAGGGAAATCTTTCCCCCACTATCATGTGCTGTGTTTAATTTGAATGATTCATAAGTCTGTGACATCAAGAACTTGCATAACAGCAGTGTGATGAAATGCGTCTCGCAAAAGTTTTAATCAACTCCATTGTTCATTCACAATTAGTTGTGTGGCGGATGATTTCATGCGCTGCAGTTGCTCAGGAGATGAACTCAAACAGACTAAGCCAACAGGAGCTCTGCTGCTGAACAAATGATTTATTGGTTGCTCCTCCGCTCAGCTTCTTGCTTTAAAGAAAAAAAGTACAGGATTCAGTTCCTCCTTTGACTACGTAAGGCAAAATACTGTTGAGACACCACACTGTGTTTACTGAGGATGTACTTTTCTGAAAAGTAAAAATGAATCAAAGGACAGACCACAATTTATTCAATACACTTTCCACAGTTTTGCGTCCCGATTGATCCCATTGTTAAATCTGTCCCAAGCTTCCCCCCTTCCATCTACACTGTCTGTAAAAATATTGTGGTTTTCTTATGTGTGCAGTGTTTCAGCTCCATTTGAGCACTTGTTTGTGTGCAAAATCATACACAATACAATCTTTTGCATAAGCATTAAGTTGAGTTCCTTCACAACCAGTCTCGAAGTTTTTAAATCATTTGTTCAAGACCAAAGTACTGACAGACAACATTGTGACCCTTAAAGTCATGATGCCAACAAACTCACAAACCTCAACATTCTTCACTTTTCTTTTTCATCACCTTGTTCTTTGAAACCATTTGAATGTGAATACATGTAAAGAAAATTCCTCTTTCCTCTGGTCTTGCTGTTAACCCATGGAAAATATTACAAATCCTGTGTTTCTAATCTGATCCAAACACATCTCTTGCCCCATCACTGTTCCAGTTAAGAACACACCCGGTCATATACAGAACTGTAACCAGGGTTAGGTCGCTCTACAGAGGAAGTTCCTGGTCTTAAACTTTATGCTGCAAGTTTTATACAAATGTAAAATGAAGGGTGGTGTATGAGTCAATGAAGAACACATTCTATTTCAAAGTGGGGGCCGATTTAGGTATTCTTTTCTTTAACGTTGTTTTTTTTTACATTTATATGATAATAACGCAAAGATCTTCATGAATAAAATCAATTATATGTAGAGTGCTAATATACATATGAAAGGTGAAATTGCAGGCAGTTTTGTGTAAATGATACAGTATATGAATCTGATCTCGCTACGTGTATTTGCAATATGGTGATAAAGTGGCCAATCAGCCTTGGTGGAGGAATGTGCTGTCAGAGTGCCCTTCCACTTCCTTTTTGTGTTCATTATCATTCATTGCACATTCTCAAAAGCTGCAGTTCCCCCAGAAGCTGACAGTGACTTCAACCACAAAATCATCAGGCTGTTAAAACATCAAAGGTGAAAATAGATCTGTGACTGACTGAAATGTATAGATTTACCATGAAGTAAACCATCTTTATACTCAATCAAGGTATTGAAGCTCTGTCTCAATATATCCTCATTTTATATCCTCATCTATGAAACCATTGACATGACTTGATAGTGGGATTACACATTAAAACATGACCATCTGTGTTCTACTGAATATGAAGCTGACAACCATCAAGGACGGTGTAAGGTTCCTTGTGTGTCAAAAGCCCATTGACGTCAATAGTGTTACATGCCTGAGGCTCCATTACTCATCCCTGACCATTATCAGCTGACTATGCTGCCCCCTGGTGGCTACGACCACAGCTCAGTGTACCCCTCATGCTGTCAACAATCAGGTCAATAATACATGTAAATAGATAATGCTTATTTTGTCAGTGGTGTTTTTTGGGGGGGCTGGTCCAGAGACTCCAGTTTTTCCAACAATGACACTTCAGATGCATATGCTGATTTTAGTAGCATTTTTTAAAAAGCTACCATTTGTTTATACTATATTTATCTATTGATTCTTCTTTAAATCTTAAGATAGCTTTATACGTACAAATGAATCAACAGCATTCAATGGAACTTATTAACTGGATTGAATTGAATTTAGTTCTACTGTGCACTTTGTCTTGTTTATGGTCAGAATGACAATGAGGTTAATCTGGAATTTTGTTCCTTTTACAAAACTTAATTTAAAACAAATTTCATCACAAACTAAATATTAAACATTGTAAATGGAGTCATAATCAACTTCATATATTTTTAATTGTAACATTTAAAAACTAAAATAAATGAAATTAAAACATTTGAGGGGAGTGTTTGTATTAAGTTTATATTAAGTTATATATATATATATATATATCCATAATATTAATATTTAGTGATCTAAGAGGAGCAGGAGTCGCGGCGTTGACGCAACCCTCCTACGTCATCACTCCGCGTCAGGAACACACCATTAGCTCAACACATCCGACACGTGAGTTGAACTGGTTTGTGTTTACTGCTTGTATCGAGTCACATTTTACATGAATCAGGCTGAATGTGTCATTTTACTGTTCTTTAACCATTTATTAAACATTTCTGACAGATACAGAGTTTATCTGTTTTTCGGGTTCTCGTGCAGCCACTTTGACGGTACGTCTGTCGGTCGACTTTCCGCCAAACTCCTATTCCAGAACATGTCAATTTAAGTTTTTCACCACTTGTCGGCAGCTATATTGGCCAAATAAAACAGAGACATTTTTAGTTGGAGATCAATTCGGCATACAAAGCATTTCCCAACAAATATATCTACCTTGATTACATTCAATTTCCTGCTTGTCCTTTGGATCAGTCTTCGATCAAACCATGAGATTGAAAACATCGATGTAAAGATGCGAGATACTTTCCTCTTAGTCCTGGTCTTGTAACAAACAATGTTTATTTAATTGTCTCCTGTATTTTGTTTCCTACCTCAGACACATTTTAATACAAACATCTCCTCTCTCAGGACCGAGACGTTGAACTGATCACCTTCATGCTGTGAGGTGAAAGCTATGTTGACAAAAGCAGAGGAAAAGCCACAGAGAGGAGAAGGAAAGAAGAGGAAACACCCTGGTGATGATGGGACAAGAGAAGAGAGAAAGAAGAAGGGAGGCGAAGAAGGAGAGAAGGGTCAGGGAGACGGTGGCAGGAAGCGCCTGGACGCCCTGAGTGTGGGATATTTCCGCCGAGTTGGAGAGAGACTCAGTGAAGGTTTTGAAGATAATGAGGAGAGAGGTGAGGATAATTATTGTTCTGATGATCTGAGCAACTGGAAGGTTGGAAAGGTTCAGCAGAAGAACACATGACATTACAGTAGTACATCTCCGTATCAGAATACAAATAAGTGCCTTTGGGAAACTTGCTCAAGTTTTATTAGATTTTACCACAATAGATCTATTATATACAACAGAATAGATTCATCACCCTTATCACCAAAAGCTCTCGAATCTCTTTCCAAATGAAATATTCTTCTGTCTTGTACGTGTATGACACCTCCTTTTTCCCTTTTGCCTTTGTTGCATGTCAATCTTTAAACGCCATTATAATTTCCCAGAGCCCAAAGTGCAGTTAAGTATTCAAATTGCTTGTTTTAACCAATGAACTGTCATTGTAAACCTAAAGGCTTTCAGTATAAAAAATTTAAACCTGGAGCCATGTAGTATTTCTCTGAAAAATTACTTTCATTATTTTAGGGTCTGGTTATTAAATCGACTAATCTTTTTAGCTTAATTTCAAATGATTTGTAGCCCTAGTTCATACTGAACATGAACAGCTTATTATGTTGATCAGTCTAACATTTGACCAGATAATCTGTCATTTAACTTTCAGCTTCAAAAGTCCAAATGTGCTTTTAGAAAAGTGTTTAAAGAAGTTGCATCGATGTTCACTGATGGGTGTAACTTTCTGTTTGCATTGATGGAGATCTTGAGATATTCATGACTTCTTGACTTCCGTGTTGCCTCCCTCTTCTCAGCACTACTGTCCTTATATTTTTCTACTCAGGTCGTTATCATAATATTTTTTCTCTGTTGACCCTGGTTCCTCTGTCACTGTCGCCCATAGAGATGTTTGTGGAGAATGTGCTCTCTGAAGTAAAAGGTAAAGCGATGTTGGTGGCGATGGACTGCACAGGAAGCATCACCCTGCAGCGGCTGCTCCCTCTGTCCAGACCTGAGCAGGTGGGAGAGGTGATGGCTGAACTGGGTGGAGAATCCGGCACAGAGTTTAAGGTGGTTTCCTGTGATCGCTGCGGGGGCCATGTCGTGGAAAGTGCAGTCAGACAGATGTCCAGGTTGATGGGTAAGATTCTTATCTCCTCACTGGGCCAAAGTCTTTGTAGTAAAATAATAAAGTCACACAAAACACATCATGTTGAATTGCATTTTTTTAGATTCATCACAGAAGGAGTCGTCTGATACCACAGAAGAAGAGGAGAGTTGTGAAGTGCTGGAGATGCAGGTGTTGTCTCTCAGCCAGGTGGTCAGAGACAACTGTGAAGAGTTCATCAAACATGTTCATGGCTCACACGTGGTCCGCACACTTATACACGTGTTGGCAGGCTGCCTCGGACCCCCCCGCACTGAATCTCGTCCAGGTACGAACACACACACACACACAAACACACACATTTATTATGTGGCCGGCACTGGTGTTGATGTGCTGCAAACGGAATCGACTGATCTCTGCAGTGAAATTAATACTTTACTTCCTGTCTCTCTCTACTGCTTCATGCCTCACCTGCATCCTGCAGATCATTTGTTGTGAACGTGTCTAAGCAGAGAGTGTTTATGTGTGAAACTAAAAACCAGGAGAAAGCCCCGACCCAATTCTGCAGAGTGTCTCTGCTTGAAAGAGGCTTAGGAGAGCCACCCCCTGAGACAAAATTAATTGTGTCCTATCCCCTTTGTGTCATTGAGACATTTTGAGCTTAAGCAATGAGAGAAGTATTTATAAAGCAACATGAAAAAAGAAATATCAATGGATCTGTCACTTCAAATTGTTTTGGAATTACAGTTCCCACAATGCTTTTTGGGATATAAACAGGAATAATAATGTTATTGAATTACTTTTAAAACTTAATTATGTGGACTTTTACGGAGTGTCTTCTTTTCTGTGGATTGATTGATTTAATCATGGCTGATATAATAACATCTCCAGAAAGTGCAAGTTAAAATTATTCTAAAAACCATGTGTGTCAAATAGTCACTGGACACATCATGAGAAACACCTGTACACCTGCTTATCTTTGCAGTTATTCAATCAGCCATCATGTGGCAGCATTCATGTACAACATCATATAGCTCCCAGATAATGAGCTTCAGTTAATGTTAATCATTTAAATCAGAAATGAGAAAAGATAAGTAACTGAGTTGTATTTGGAGCTCTGGCTGTGGAAGTTTCCCTTTACACCTCATGGAGCATCTTTACACATCTCACCCTCCAAGCCTCCCCTTTAATTCTCACCCTCAGAGCCATGGCTCACATTTTCAAAAGCCCTGGCCTAACACATTCAGTTTTTCTGTGACCCTGTGTTTTGACTCCAGTCAACCCTCACAGAGAGACGACCGTCTAAAAATGAAAGTTTTTGCAGAACAATATTTTCAACCATTGCGTGTGGCTTTTTCTCGTCAGTCGTTCCAGCTGACACGAACAAAATAGAGCTTTGATTGTTGGCCATTCTTTGAGGCTGCTCGCGTGTGTCAGTTCTTTTACACCCACAGACATGTTTGCTTTAATCTTGATTTGATGCCATCTTTTCTCCCTTTTCATATTTTTCTCCAGGTGCAAAAGGCCGCGGAGTCACTCCTTTGCTGACAGACTTTGAGATTCCCACGTCATTTTGGTACGAGCTGAAAAGCCTCACGGAGACCTTGATGGAAAACATTAATCGTGAGTCATCTTTCATCAAACCCTGACACAACACGTATAATGACAAGCATTGTTGCTTCTGCACAGAAAAAGTCCTGGGGCCAACCTAATCACACACATTTAGAAAAAGCTACCTTATGATTTGGAATGATTTTTAAATGAGAAATTTAAACAGAACAGAACACAGAAAGCTGTGGAGTAAACAATTTTGTATTAAGTGATTTTAGAGTTATATTTAATATCCACATATTTAGGATTAATTAATTTTGTTAATTTATTTATCTCATAGTTTCTGCCAGACCTTCACATATTAATATGTGCTGTAATTAGTGCTGTGTCCTTCTTGTCCTCTGCTGGGAGCATACTTTTGGAATCAGTTTGAACAAGTCTTTTAAATGCAAGTGAGGACTAGCACGAGAGCCAGTGAGGAGGGCAGTAGTTTTGAAGAGAAAGCTGCTTAGATTGTGTTTAGAATTTATATGATTAGTCCAACCATGAAGTTTAGATATCACAACAAAATGAAGTCAAGAAATTGTCTTTGGGCTCTGCAGGGACAGAAAGAATCATATCTTTTCATTAAGGAGCCCAAGAAGAAAACAGAAAAGTGTCGGGATGACTGGAGAGAGACACAACATGTGGTTCTTTCTGTTCTGTGTCAATATCCTCATGCATCACACACAGGGCACCGATTTAAACTAGAATGTCACTCAGTAGTGCAAATACCTCCACCTAAGCCCAACAGTCCCCTCATGAAACCACATTTAGATTCACTACATCCAGATTATTATCTGGATCTGCACCAACTCCCACACACCTAAATATCCGTCCTCTAAACATTTCTTGATTTCTTCATCAAGATTCTTGAATTATTCTCTGAGGAAAGTGTTGCAAAACAATGTAAAGTAATCTGGATTAACACTGAAATATAGTATATTCTTCTCCCTGACCCATACAGCAGCCTTCCACTAAGTTTCAGTGGTAGTTTTATTGACTTCCATTGTCATAGCAGCAGTCTGGAGCATAATGGCTGAATCCATTAGAAGGATTCTCTGTTGAATAAATCATTCTGGGCAATAAGGAACCGGACAATCAACAACCTGACAATTATTTCCAAAATTCGTAAGACATGTTCCCCCATCGCTGCATCTCTAGCAGGTTTGGCTTCATACAGTCTCCAGCAGGGCCCAGTGACTCTGTGGGCATATCTCATTGTATCAGCCTGTGCATCCCTCCTGTGCTGTAAGTCATTTAAACACGTGGATACTCTGTGATCTTTTCTGTAACGGGAGGCCATTTCTGACTCATCTTTAACGCTTGGTATTAATACACTGATATTCTGCATTCAACACCAGTGTTCCTGTCTATGCTTCTATTTTCAAAACATTTTATATCACTGCCAAGGTATCCCCATGTCACCCCAACTGAACGAAGAATGACTAAAATAGGACTCTAAACAATTTTGCATATGAGCTTGTTTATTAGATACACACACAGGATTTAAGTACAACTGTTTGCCTGAGGGCAAACCAAACAACAGGCAGAAAGATTGACTGCTTTTCCCTCTCTCCCCTTTCTAGTGAGTGTGACAGATGCTGTTGCCAGCGCAGTGTTCCAGACCATGTTGACTGTCTGTCACAGGAAAAGGCCCAAACTCTGCAAGCAGCTCCTCAAACAGATCATGGAGTACCTGACGAGTCGCAGTGCTGCTCCTGGAGTGAGGTCAGTCCTGAATTCTACCTGATATGAATTGATTTTATAAATTATGTTATTGCCACTTAGTGTAACATGGAGTATTGTTTTTATTTTCGCTATAGTCCACTTCTGGTGTTCCTGAAGGATCAGGCCTCAAGTCACCTCATTGAGACGATCATACAGCTATCCCACAAGCCCCTTCTGCGTGACCTCTACAAGAACCATCTCAAGGGTCACATGGTCGACCTAGCCCTCCATCCCATCGCCAACTTTCCCGTACAGAGACTGACTGCAGCGTCCGCCAAATACAAAATGGTAAGTAAAAACTGTCCAGCCCTCTGCGACATAGGCAGAGAACATAGTGTTATGTCTAGGGAAATGCTTGTTAGGCAGTCAGCCCAAAGGCATCAATTATCAAGTCTGCACATAATATCATATTAACGTGCCCTTGCAACAGAACGTTTAACCATTACTATCTGGAAAGTCAGAAAGGTCGTTTGTTTTAACTCAAATAATTGGATGAAGAATATCCTGAACCTTTTAATAATGGAAGAAGCTGCATCATCCCTTATAGATCCAGACAAGGGCGCTGCTATATGTCACAATAACAACTTGCTCTCCTCTCTTTGCAATGTGTCTGTGCTGGAATGATTATTTTAGTCATAGTTCCATCTTATCCATGTATGATTAAGGAATAACCATCTCAAAAAGTGTATTTAAATGGTCTGTATTTATATATATCGCTTTTCTAGTCCTGATGACTACTCAAAAGCAGTTTTGCCATTCACACACATTCACACAGTGCATCTAGTATCAGCTGGCAATTTGTGGTTCATTATGTTGCCCATGGACACTACGGCACATGAAATTGGGGGAGACTGGGATCAAACCGCTAACCCTCGGGTTACACCCACTCTACCTCCTGAGCCACAGTATTTATGAGATGGAACAAAGTATGAATGCATGTGTACCTATTGTCACATTGTGTCAAACATCATGAGTATTAATGACTTGTATCGTTATCCTGTTTTTATGTTTGTCAGTCTGCCTCTCATGGAAAACCTGTAATGATTTGTTCCTGAATATTCAACTCCAGGTATAACTGAACTCTCCAACTCATATTCTGTCTCTGTAGTTCCTGAAGTTGTTCGATGAGCTGGTGCAAGGTGTGGAGGCCGTCTTGGCCGCAGGTCACATGGGGGTGATCGTCCAGCTGGCGGAGAGCTGTGCAGAGAGTGAAGAGAAACAGGACGAGCTGATGCAGAGTCTCCTGCGTGTAAGAGTATATGTTATATGTCGGGTGTTGAATCAATATAACAGACTGAGATGGAAACTTGATAACACTATAAAATTACTTAATGTTTGATTTTTGGATTCATTGTGATCCTGTTGACTTGCTGCCTTGCAGGCGTTCCACTGCGCTGAGCCTGGCTCTCGACAGGTCAGCTGCCTCCCTCTCTTCATGTCCCTGCTCACCTACGACGTGTACTACCACTCGGACACAGCAGAGGGCGGCACGTCAACAGAGGTGAGCAGCTGAGAGGAATTTAATCATGTCATGGACTGATGTTAATTCTTTACATTTCAAATGATTAGAGGCACAAAGCTGCACCGCAAAGCATTTGGATATGAAAGAATGCTACAGCGTGTTTATGTTGCAGATGCAGGGAGGTAACTTTGTTGTTTTCCTGATCATTATCCAGGTCCCGCTGTCGTCCATCTGTTATCATGGCTCGCGGCTGGTTCAGGCGCTGTCCAGGTTCAAAGAGCGCTCGGTCCTCCTCAGCAGTCTGCGCACCCTGAGCCCTGCTGACCTCCTGACGCTGGCCTCTGACCCTGCGGGCAGCCACGTCCTCCAGGCCCTCATCACCACATCCAGTGATAAAGGGAGGGGCAAGATCCTTAAGAGACTGGAGGTACGAGTACAAACGGGAGCTGGTGGAATATTTAAAACTGAAACAAATAGTTGAAGAAAAAAAAAAAAAGCCAGTCGCAATTTGTCATCTGAATGTTCTGGACATTTTCCTAATGATGTGGAAGCATCAGGCCTTGACAAATCCTCTTGTGTTGGTCATATGTGAAATGTTCAGACATTTTTTGGAATTCGTGTTAAAAACGAATATGTCAACTTTTAATCAAGGAATGAATGTCGGTTTTTTATCCATTCGTATTTTTTTAATTAATATTTTTGACTTAGTTATTACTAAGACATGTTTGGTTGACCATACTATTGCTAGTTTTGTATGACTGACTTTCACATTAGTGACTTTGAGGAAAGTTTGATGAAAGTTCCAGTCCCCTCTCTTCTGTGGACATTTAAGTTATAGACTTTATATATGTTAACTTAATCATGAAAATAGCAGGGCAAATCAAAAAATTTAACATTATGAAAGAGGACATGAAGCTTTTTCATCAAACCCTTTCTCCTCACAGGGTCTGCATGTTCAGATGGCGTGCTCCAGGTTGGGCAGTCGGGTGCTGGAAGCCATATGGAACAGTGCTTCAGTGAGTCAGAGGCAAAGCATCGCACAGGAACTAGGTAACACAAACAAAAGCTTTCATTCACTTTTCTGTAGATTTACACTTTTTATCCAGTTCAAATGCAAATTCCCCTCTCGCCCCTTCTCTTCCAGTTCCAAGTGAAAACCAGCTGAGGTCTAATCAGTTCGCTCGTCACGTGTGGGCCAAATTCGCTCTCTCCCACTTTGTGCACAGACGAGCGCACTGGCAGGAAATACAGACGGGCCAGTCCAAGAAGAGGAAGCTTTTCAGTGACATTCTGGAATAGATATTTGTACCATCTTTTAATGTTTGCTACATATGTAGATAAAAATAAAATAGCAAATTGTCTTTTTTGTTGTGCCATTATTTGCAAGAATGGCCTGTAGGGGGTGCTAGTTGAGCATTTAATGTTTTCCTGAGGTCTGGGTTCTGAAATGAGCAGAGGAACACCAGCTCCAATGTGTAAATTGTATCTGCCTGGCCGGCAACAAAGAGGGAGGCCACACAGATATAACAAGCAAAAATGTGTTTATTTAACTTAATCAAGCAAGCAAAGTAACTAATGGATGGGGTGTGTAAGTAGGAAGGTCAACAGTCATGTTAGAAGTGTGTGGATGGGTGAGAACATGGTGTAGTGTGTTGTAAGGTGCAACAAACCAAACAAAGGACATGTGGCTGCACCAGGACTAGCTGAGCTGTGATTCCAAAGAGCGGTCTTTTATAACTTCTGCAGGCCCTGCCCAAAAGGTCAGGTACCTGCAGGCACTCCCTCCCGGCTCCGCCTACCAGCCAACTGCAAGAGAACAGAATGAGACAAGCAGACTGGAAAGGGTCGTCACACCCCCTCCCTTAAAATGGGGGCTTAACTAGGATCCCCAAAATTCAGCTACAGCCACTAAACAACAACCAACTTCCAAATAAATAATTAGCTCAAACTGCTGAAGACATCAAAACACTCTGGTATATAGCGTCAACATGTAAACAACCCTTCAACCCATGTTAACTGGTGAACATCCATATAACTCATGTAAACATCCTTACAACTAGCAGATTAACTATTTCCTTTACCGTTGAAGCCACCTCCCTCGGCAACCTTGGTACCCTAGGAAGCAGTTTAAGAGAGAGGAAARCCAGACTGGACAGGAAGAGACACTACAGGGAGGAAGCACACAAGTGAATTTACCGCCTGATCAAAAGGTGGGTGTGAATCAACAACTGATTCCACTGCAGCAACAGAGGAAATCAACAACTCAGGACCTAGCACAGCAGAGCGAGCAAAATAGGGTTTCAACAAGTAAATATGACACAACTGCCCTAACTTCCTCCGGTCAGGGGTTGAGATCAAATAATTCAAATCTGACACTTTACAGGTCACATTATAAGGGCCAGGTAACTTGGCCTGGAAAGGGGATCCAACCAAAGGCAAAATGACATTTAATTTTATTTTGAGCTGCTTGTAGATTTTCTCTTGCCAATTTGTTTGCTCAATAGTCGTTGTCTGAAACCATTTACATAGTCTATCAAGTTTTGTGGGGCCTCTTTTGCTTTCCAGTCACTGTGAAGGGATGCCAAAGGGCCTCAAACTGTGTGACTGAAAACCAGGTCTTTGGGACTGAAACCCAGGCTCTCTTGGGACACCTCCCTGGCAGCTAACATCAGCCAGGGTAATCCCTCCTCCCAGTGACTGTCTAACTCAGTGCAATATGCTCGGAGAAGGGACTTCAAGGTTTGATGGAACCCCCTGAGAGCTCCCTGGCTCTGCGCATGGTAGGCGCTAGACTGTGAATGTTTGATATTTAGCTGTTTTAACACTTCTGCAAACAACTTCAACGAGAAATTAGACCCCTGGTCAGACTGGCCACCTTTGGGATTCCAAAAATAGACAGGAACTGTGTCAGTGCTTTCACAACCAACCTGGTCGTGATGTTCCTAAGGGGATAGGCAGCAGGATAACGTGTAGCCTGACACATGACAAGTAGCAAGAAGTCACTACCAGCTTTCGAAAGTGGCAAAGGACCAACACAATCAACAATCAGATGCTCAAAAGAGTGTTCAGCAACTGGAATGGGATTCAGAGGGGCGGGTTTAATTGCCTGATTTGGTTTTCCAGTCAATTGACGTGTGGCCAGTTAATAAAGGCCGAAATGTTGCTTTTCAAACGTGGCCAGTAAAAATGCCGCATAACTCTGTCATAGCTTTTCCTGACACCCAAATGACCTGCAACACCATCATGAGCAGTCTGAAGAACAGTTAGACATAACGAAGAGGGCAGGACTAGTTGCACAATCTCATCCCCCAGAAAACAGTCCCCCCTGGGGAACTCATTTACTCACCAACAGGTCATCTTGGAAAAAGTAGCCACGGGCTGMACTCTCCACCTCACCATCTGGTAGAACTTGGCTGTACAGTGGCTGAAGTTAGGGATCATCTTTTTGCTCTTTTAAAAGATCACTGCAAGATACAGGCAAAGGAAAAGCAGGTACAGGGAACACAAACTCTTTTCTTATCTGAATTGTCAAAATCTGAACTAAAATCAGCATGGCTCATGGCACGTGTCACTGCACAAGTGGGTAGTACTACAACAGGATGTTTGGGAGACTCAAAATCTTCTACCTGAGAAATTGGTGTGTCCACCATTGCAGGGACAACAGGCCACACACGATCGCCAGCCAGGTCTTTCCCTCAGATGACCTGTGTCCCCCCCCCATAGGCAAAGAAGGGTACACTCCCATGGTCACGTCACCTTGCACCAGATCTGAAATCAGTCAGTTTATGCTGAGAAGCTGCATAAACAGTCAAACCCATTCCCCGAACATCAACACTGAAACTGGTGTCTGTCTCCGAAGAGAAAGGCAACACAGAGTCCACAATAAATGAGTCCAGTGCCCCTGAATCTCTCAGTATTTTTACAGGTACCTTCCTATCGCTCCCGACCAGTGAAACATAACCATCTGACACAAATGCCACATAACCAAGATCAATCTCATCATTAGCTGAAGATTTTGCCTGTTCTTGCGCCACTACAAGAACCTCAATCACCAACTCTGAGGAAGAGGGTTTTGTATGTGCTCGCACAGCAGCAACGGCATGGCCTCTTTCTTCTGCACGCATAGACGCTGCAGCCCCAGAGGGTTTTGCGAAAACATAACCAGACTTTAATCTTTTCTTCAACACCGGACATTCATTTCTCCAGTGTTCCTGACCAAAACAGTAGTTACAGACGAGGTTGGGGTCCAGTTTTCCCCGTAAACTGCGATCTATTTTAGCTGAAAACTTTTCTGTCCCTTCTGACAAAGACCTGCTGGGGAAAACCCCCACAATGCTCTCCCTGCAGCCAGAGTCACGAAAACCATGGCTCTCACCAGAAAAAACTTTATGGGTCAAGACAAAGTCATCAGCCAGTTTAGCGGCATCTGAAACCTTGCTTACCTTCTGTTCATTTAARTAAGTTACAACCCAATCAGGCAGAGTATTTTTAAACTGCTCAAGCAAAATCAGTTCCTGCAATTCCTCCATGGTCTCCACCTCAGAAGCAACACACCAGCGGCCGAAATGAGTGGCTAAACACAAGCAAATTCAGTGTGCGACTATCTCTCTTTCCTGAGTTTCCTGAATCGCTGCTGATAAGCTTCAGGTACCAACTCATATGCCTTAAGCACAGCAGCTTTAACCAACTGATAGCTACCACTATCCCTAGCACTCAAGATGGAGAATGCCTCCTGAGCCTTGCCAGTGAGCACACATTGAAGCAGGAGTGTCTGTAATCAAAGCCATTTTTACAGTTTCACCACCTAGAGGCGCGTTTTCCAGCACTGATACTCTATACACAGCTAAACACACCACAGATAGGCCACAACTACAAACAGAGAAAGTTTTCCATCACTACGCAACAGAGAGAAAGTTTTCCATCACTACGCAACAGGGTTAAGATATGGAACCCCATCCCTCTGGCTAACTGCCTAACCAGAACTAGCTGACTCACTAAACCCTAGACTTCATGCAGGTTTGTGGCAGGATGGATATAGCACAAAGCCCAACGACCCGGTTAACTTCCAGCTAACTGAAATTACCTGGACAGTCCTGGAAGTGCCCCAGAGCACTGCTCTAACCACGTACTGCACAAAAACAACAAATTAAAACAAAAAAAGATCAATGGAGACAGCCAGTGCCCCACATTGCTTATGCCTTTCAGGAATAAGGGTTCCAAATTACTTATCAGCCCTCAAATCCTTACTTGCAGTTCAGGAAAACATGTTTTAACATTTACAGGCCAAAATCTGTGGAGCAACATGCTTACTGGAACACAAATAGTCAAGCAACAAATTCCCTAGGACTACCAGAGCAACCCAAAATCTGTGTGAACACTCCCTTCAACAAAACTTTAGAGTTACCAGATTCCCAGCACTAAAGTATCCCGGACAAGCCCCCATTTTTTACCACCTGGATCAAGGCCGGCAACAAAGAGGAAGGCCACACACAGATATAACAAGCAAGCAAAGTAACTAATGGATGGGGTGTGTAAGTAGGAAGGTCAACGGTCATGTTAAGAGTCTGTCCATGGGTGAGAACATGGTGTAGTGTGTTTTAAGGTGCAACAGACCAAACAAAGGACATGTTGCTGCAGCAGGCCCAGCTGAGAGAGTCCTTTATAACTTCTGCAGGTTCCTGCCCTTTTGCACTCCCTCCCAGCAACTGCAAGAGAACAGAATGAGACAGGCAGGCAGACTGGAAAGGGTCGTCCCAAAGCATACAGTCAACTTGCAAAACTGCGACCCAAAGACACACAACTGACGCATCTCATCCTGTACAGTCATTTAGTCTGTAATTAGAATTGCTGAATAACTTACAAAAACAGCACTAATGCATTAGGTGTGTGTGTGTGTATATATATACTGACTATTAAATGTATAGAAAGACAGATTTGGGAGATTTCAGAATAGTAAAATAGCGAGGATCAGCATGTTGGACAGAACAATATAAACCTCTCAACGCTGAGTCAGTCCTGTCATAAATTCAACCTTCACACCAAGTCAGAGTTGTGTGGAGATGTGGATACAACTGTCCAGTAATTCTGAAGCTGTAGGTTGTGTTTAATAATAGATTTTTTATTGTCAGGGTTTTCTTATCCAGCGCTCCCCTCAGTAGTTATAATGATGAGGGCAGGGCTTTTGGGTTCTTCTCATATATCTATGAACTATTCTTAACCCTGATTAACTCAGTCTTATTGAAAATAGAATGGTGTACCCCTTTCTACAATCGATTCAGGCCTGGGTGTAGCTTGGGTTCGTTGAAGCCTCAAACACAATGGCTGCTTCACCCCTACCGGCCAACAGAAAAGAGAAAAAGCAACTTATCGACCAGTGTTGTGGGCCCTCACACGGGCTGACGGCAGGAGAAGAGTTGAGGAGAAGATCCGTCACTGCCGATGTCGCGGTGCTCGCTCGGCGTCTGCAGCTCCACGCTCCTTTCCCACAGGTAGCTTGCTGCTACCTTAGCAAAATCCCGCCGATCTACTAGCTACTGCGTTAGCTGCTAGCTCCACGTCGTCCTCTCGTCACGAGTGGAGTAGTTCACTCAAACAAACTGAATAGTCACCATAAAGTCCTCTGGAGAGTCCGGGCTGAACGCCTCCACGACCTGGTTTCTTATACTTGCTCCACAGTCTCTTTTTGTTACACTTTTTTCTCCACTAGTTTTCTGTGTCCTCTCCTTCTGCCCTCTCCCTCTCTTCTCTGTACCCTGAAAAAAACCACACACCTGAGATGTCACTCTCTATTGACCCCATAAATGCCGGTTCATACAGTTTTACACAGATACATCAGCTTTCAAATAAAACAATAAACAAAACATATCATATATATTTCTATTTTATAACATTTTAAGGAATTTCAACCTTTTTAATCACACTATGTATATGCTTGGATGAAATGATATTGCGTAATGTTTTTAACCGGGTTCCACTTATATCAGCAACATCCCTTTTTTTTAATTGTACAATTCATTGAAATATAGATCACAAAGCTCACGTAACATGTACATCAGTGCAACCAAAGAAACACTTCTTTACTTTGTACTTTGCATTGCTCTGCATCAGTGAAGCGTCGCCATTTTCAGTTAGAATGTAAAGCGATGAGAGCTGCCCGTCACTAAAGTGTGACTGCACTTAGAGAGCAATTTTCCGCTTGCCACTGAAGAGTATCTAAAAGATCAGTTCACCAACATCAATTTGAAAAAGGCAAATGTTTCCACATTTCTATGGCAGCTAACTGTCGTATGCAGGGTTGACTGTGGCTCAGGAGCCCTCGACGGCTGTGCCAGCAGTGGGATAGAGAAACTGCTTCACATAGATGCACTGTATGAATTTGTGAATGATGAAGCGTAAAGCACCGAGTAGTCATCAAGACTAGAAATAAGGAGCATTTATTATTTTTATCATATGCAACCATAGGAATCCACCTGAGTTGAATTCAGTTGAATTTGTGTTGCTGAAAGCATCAAAAAAATCACAATTTGGAAAAAGTAAAAGTACTTTGTCTGTCCACCGATGCAGAAGACTCCAGGGGGAGAATCTTGTTTTGTTTTTTACACACCCTGACCTTTCCACTTGCAGAATATAAAGTCAAATTCTCAGCTATGCACAGCTGATATTTCACTCATCCAATAAAGATGAAACATCTCTTTTCCATGGGTCCACTAAAGGATGCTGTCACCACTTCAGCAAATGGATTATCCTGATCAATCAAATGCTTTTCAAGTTACTACAATTATATTGTATTTGGCTGCAACACTGTTTACCCCTGAAAGTCCAAAAGTGTTGGGTGGACTCAAACACTTCACCCACCCCTCCATCAGCACAGTGGTGAGCAGATAATCTGTGAAATGTTCGTTTTTGGGTGAACTATCCCTTTAAGGTAATTGTTCTCAACTCCTGGCTTGCTGATTGGTACCATGACCAACATGAATTTTGGAAAAAAAAGACTGAATTATAATTTTTTAATCTTAGAAACAATTATAAGCAGCTACTTGGAGGTATCACATCCAGTTATTTAATCAATCTGTATCTTCTGTGTTCCTATAACTGGAAACACACTTTGCTAAAATGAGTGATAGAAGTATGAGGTTTGAAAGCTTGAGAGTTTCTTCAGTGTAGGTTAGAGAGATAAAATGCTTCATGTGTGTATGTTAAGTTGGTCAGCCTTAGCTTAGCATCGAGCATAAAGACAGAAAGTAGTGGGACACATCCAGCAGCTGATCTGAACCTGTATTTAACACCTGTAATTCTTTTAATAAACAAGAGTAAAAGCGACATTGCAGTTGGTTGAGTGTTGAGGTAAGGAAGCCACATCCTGGCTGAGAACAATAACCATCTGTTACCTGGGCTATAGGTGTCATTGACTGTTGCTTGGCAACATCACTGTGATGCTTTATAGGTCTGTGTCTGAAATCACACTTTGATTCACTAAACCACCGCTTCCTGCTTTACACACACACACTAATTTATACTATAGGGAATAGCAAAAGTCCTTCAAAAAATGAAAAAAAAAACATTAGAAACCACAACTTTTAAAATTTTTAATACACTTTTAGAACACACAATGCACCAAGTT